GACCAAACATTTGAACATTTTTGACAGGAGATGGAGCCACAGCATTGTGGCCATAAATCCGTGAGGCACCAAGGCTTCACAATAAGTGGATAGAAAGTAAGAAAAGTGCCGTGGAGTTCAGCTCTCCGCGCGCAGTCTGCTCCATATGTTCACGCGTGGAGACGGAGCAAGAAAACAATAGTCTTTAAAGTCCTATTTTTGGTGGGGGCCCGCCTCACCGGCTATTTCTGTCAGCGGGAGGGCGCAGGGCTGGGGAGGGGAAGGAGGGAGGGCGCAGCGTTAAAGGGGCCGGACTTTCTTCTCTGCAACTTGCCTCACTTCAGTCCCCTTTCAGTTCCTCCTCTTCAGCTCCACCGACAGCAGCTGACCTCTCCATCCTTTTCTGCGGATTCAAACGGACTTGTGTTTCGGCTTTGCAGGATTATCTCCAAGTCTGTGGACTTCATCAAGTGTTTTAGGCTGTTTCTGCTTTTTACGCACAAGGTAGGAGGCAACTCCGGTGCCTAACGCACGGATGGAAACTGCTTCAGGCTCGAATAGTCGTGTTTTCTGCTTAAAAGATCAGCTGTTAGTGTAACTTTGAATATAAGATTAGGTTTGCCGCTGCTGCCGCAGGTGTTTGGTTTGTTTTTATTGCTTATGAGCGCACTGTGAAGCGCAACGACTTTCCCTCAGCTGTTGTTCTGAACTCCTCCTCTTCTCGTTGAAGGTAATGCAACATGTTGTTTTGGTTAATTGGAAAATTCAGAGTAAGTCATCATTAGGGCAGGGTTCCCATAGTAAGGTCGGGCAAAGAGGAGCAAACGGTGACAGGATAAAAACAATCTTTTGATATCAGACTGTCGTTTGAGCAACACAAATCACTGAAGACACCTTAGAATTTTACCTTTGCTGTATAAAAAAAGATTAAAACAAAAAGAAAAACGTATCTAGTTATTGTTTGCATCTTTTTGGAGTCTAAAATGTGTTTAAAATCTCTTACCTAACTCACTCACATACAAACCAGGCAGGATCGTAGCTTTCCAGAGATGCAGGTGCGCAGACTTTGGGTCCGCATGTGGTTTCTATCTGGGTCGAATATGAGACCTGTGCATCACCAGCGCAGCTCACTGCGCCCAGCTGAACACACCAACCAGAGAATCCACCTCTGCACAAAGCAGCTGGATCCCTTTAACTGATGTAATAACATTAGGACACCAGAAACTTCACCACTGCTCACTAACTATAGTAATTTGTCCTCAAATCACTAACTATATTTAAGTTAATCTTCAATTAGTGGACTAAGTTCCAGTCCAGGTTCAACTCCTTATATTGAGGTCCACCTCTTTTTCTAAAATAGTTCAATTGCTAGAAAATCACTGACATTTTTAACCTTTTTTCAAATAAAGCAGTTCAAATTTTCACAAACTTTGTTTTTAACACAGTTTAAATCAATATGCTCTCCTAGTATTTAAGACTCAGTTTATCAAATGAAATCCGAAAATCGAAATAATGTCACCGGTCAGTAGCCTCTGTGGAATCCTGATAAGCTTGAGGAAATGAACGTAAGACAGAAAGAAAGAAAGAAAGAAAGAAAGAAAGAAAGAAAGAAAGAAAGAAAGAAAGAAAGAAAGAAAACTGTTATCATATTGTAGTATTAGCACAGAAAAATCATAGAAAAACCTGTTTTTATAAATAAAATGTAAAATAAAAATTATTCCTATTGCTGGAAATACCATTAATTGGGGGGATTTTTACTTTCTGTTTTCCAAAAATAAATACTTAAAACCAGCGGCCACTATTTTAATGTGCTTCTTAAAAATAAATAATTTTCCTTTTTTTATTTTCACAGCTCAGGCAGACTATGAGCCATTTAACAGCTTTAGTTTTAAAACACTAACCTTACCTCTAAGAAAATAAGGTTAAAGGCCATTTATTTATGTATTTATTTTTACTTATAGCATGGCAATGGTGGTGTTTGTTCAGCAACATGTGGGGGGAGGGCTAAGCTGTGTTATATGCTCCCTTACTGGAGGAATTTTGTTTAGTAGGACGCTTTTCATATCTTGTTGTAAAGATGTTGAACTGTTCTCGTAAATGACCCAAGATTTTGTTCATTTGGGAAACCATATTTTTTTTCTTACCAGTTCATGCTTAGCCAATACCTGTTAGAAATCTGAACTGGTTGGTTTCATACTGACAGAATGCGATGAAGCAGATGCTAATTTCAGCGCAGTGGTTTAAAATGTTAAGAATTCAGCCTTTGCTTAAACTTTTAGAAGCAAACTTTTGTCCATCTGCTGGAAAAGTTTTCAGCGATTCCATCAACAAAGCAGAGCGAATCAGTAACGATTACTATTAAAGAACATGTTTCACGCCTGGGGCGCCATAAGGGCTGCTCCAGTCTTAGTCATACTATTCAAACATTTGCTTGTTTCTTAGAAGGACAAATTTCACTATGACGGGAAATATTTTAGTGTTTTAAAAACTCAATATCTTTACATTCAAGTATTTAACTTTCCTCATATATTCTTGGCTTTTAAAAGAAGGCAGAGGAAGGATGCTGATGTTCTCACTCCTTATTTCTTTTCTTTTATCTGCAGATGGAACTCAGCGCCTTTGGATAGACCGTAGAAACAAGTGGAGCATCGTACTTCACTGAAGTGACAGGTTGGACTTTTAACCTTTGAAAGACAATGAACCTAACACAGGCTCTAATCTAATAAGTAGTTGTGTTGTGGGTTGGTAAAACTCTCCTTAAACCACAGAAAGGTAGGCCACAGCCCTCAGCGGTGGAACAGTCATGTTGGAGAAATGGTGCCCGTTTGCAGTCGGGCCCTAGGGACAACATCTTCTCATTCTTATAACGTTTTAAATTTTGCAGCGTAAAATAAAAACAGACCAACATGACATTGTTTGGCTGACAGCAGTTTTTCCAGCATGTGTGTCAGTGAGACGTGCAAAAAACAAAAAAAAGGAGCAGGTGTTGGCCTAGTTGGAAAAATGTAGTTTACTAAGTAGGGCTTTCTGTGTTATGGTTCATGTGTGGGTACTGCCACAGGTCATGGAGCCTATGTCTCACAGGCCTAAAAACATACGTGTGGATGTTGAATTTTAGACATGAGTAAATTTGAAAGTCTATAACCCCCCACTCTCAGTTTCCTGCCTAAAAAAGGTTAGTTCTATCAGTCTACTCTGACCTGCACACATACATATGGAAAATGACCTATTTAAACGTCTTTCATTCTTTTCCAAGTTTCATTTATTTTGTTATTTTAACCCATTGAACTACCTGTGCATCAAGTCCAGTAATGTTCTGCCTTTTTAAAGATGAGCCAGAAGAAAAAGCTCCTAGGGATGCACCAGTCGAGTGTTCCTGGACTAAAACAGTTACTGTTTTTTTTTTTTTTTTATGAGTTTGAGCTGCAAATTCAGACTTTTGTCATACTAAAAACATGCTACTGTTTAATCCATTTATTGGCAACAATGGTTCAAGCTTTCAGTTATGATACTCAAGTCTGGTTTATACTCAGAAATCAGTTCGTCTGAGTGTGTCGCAGTGAACGTAAATGTGCCCCCCCTCTTCTGCAGACACTCTGGTGAACCTCGCCAAAATTGTAGGTGAGCGCAGACAGTGCCGCAGATTGGGCAAATCTACATCCGCTCTATAGTATGCGTATTTCCTGTTTGGTACCGTACCGGCTTGTTTTGCTTGTATGACCGCCATTGCTGAAAACTACTCGTGTAGATGGACCAGCTAGACGAGCGAGAACGCTGGAACCCTTTTTCCACCTGGATCCCCACTCTTTTCCATCCTCATGTCCCTCCGTCGTCGCACAAACTTGCCCCCACTTCCTCACCGCCTCGGGCGTATCTAAACCCACAGCTAGTTCGTGGTTGTCCGTCTGGCATTGTGGCGTGGAATAACATAAAAATATCAAGCTCACTGCGACACACTGCTGCAGGAGTTTAACCAGCCCTTTATAATGAATAAACTCACTAATCAGACTCCATCGAGGTGAAACTGGTCCTTATATATCAGGCAAATAGGTGGATCAAAAGAAGATAGGAAGAAATTTCAGTTACCTTTGTATTTACAAAGTAAATATACAGCTAGTTCCACATGATCTGGAGGTAATAAGCTAAAAGGAACCAAATTATATTTGCTTTAAACAGAAACAACCATTGTGAACATTTTTAGCACTCCTAGTTTAAATGAAAGCATACGGCAGTGAATCATGGTATGGGACTGGAGAGACTAGTACCATCATTAGAATTTTAATTTAGAAATTTCCTTTTTTTGTGTAAAAAAAAATAATTAGGGTGTATTCTTTAACTAAACATACATATTTTCCCCACCAGTTTTGTCTTTTTGCAAAAATGCAACAAAATTAGAAAGTCTTGTTGCTTGTTTCCAGTTTTTCCCAGCAGGTGTTTGGAAACGTTAGTGTTTCCTAAAGAAGTTAATAAACAAATTACAAACTAATACGCTTACAGATATCCTGCAAAGCAAATTTCCTTCCTTAGTATTTGGTCAGACAATGACATCCCAGTAGTACGACACAGGGTGTTAACCTGTGATATCTCCTAATCTCAAGAGACACCTCGTTCTACAACAGAATATGATACGAAGATGATAAGCATCACATGTTTCTGCCATGACAGCAGCTCCTCTGTTTCCTCATGGCAAATATTTCTCCATTCTTCCTCCTATAATTCCAGAGGCAGCCCAGTAACTCAGAATGGAGTTGACTCACATGGGAAAGGTTTTACCTTTTTTTCACTTCACCTTAGATCAGTGGATCAAAAATTTGATCCAACGCTCCACCCATGAAGAAACGAGTCACCCGGCGGGTTCTTTGTGTCCCTGCCTTTTACTTCAGATTAGCTTTCTTTGCCGTAAAGCACGCCTGTGTGAACACACTGTGTAGGATTACAATACATGTCTCTGAATTGGCTCTTGCTGTGCCAGGCTCCACTGACTGTACACTAACCCACAGCCCACTCGATGTGTGCGTGTGGTAACGTGTGTGTCTGTGGAAAAACCCGGTGAGGTCATGGCCGTGGCTGTAGAGTCTGGTTACATGCCTGTTGTCCGTGCAGAGCAATGGACGCAGTCCCAACTACCTTTCGTCTTCTATTTAAAATCCTTCTTGCACTCTTAAAAAAAACAATCACAACCCTGCTTTCAATCGTTTCTACTCATGGGGATGTTTCCCTTCTACATCCCTGTGGTTGAAAATGGGTGAGCAGTTTAATGTTGAAGCAGTTTGGGTTTAGAAGTGTTCGACATGTGAAACCACCAGTTTACACATTGCTAAAGCTTAGAGAACTGTTCAGGCCATGCAGACTGCATCCAGATACTTTCAGATCACCAGGAGGAAATCCCGTTTGTACCACATTGTTTTGGTTCCTCTGAAGCAAAGCTGATACTTGATTTTCCCACGCATAAAAAAGAAGCAAACAAGGTGAAGGTTTGTTTACTTGAGAGAAAGCTTTTTAGACATATTTGCTCTGGATGTATTCACACATGGAAAGTCCTTTGGTTCGCTTGTTCGTTCCAAACTACAAGCGGACATTTCTTTTGTTCGTCTTTATTTGGTGCGGGTTACTTTCATATTGTCTTTTTTGTAAGTAAACTATAAATTCTAAGAAAGCAAAGATTCTTGCTCCTATATGACAGAAATGACCGAGGCGAGACGGAGAATTCTCCAGGAAATGAAGGAGAACCACTGTAGGAGTCCTGCTTTTAGAGCCTCTGTTTGGTATATTTGTGCTGTTATTGCAGCTGCAAAATCATTGTGAGCATTCAAAACAGCTCATTATACTCAGATGCTGAGTTGTTTTACTTCTGCGTTGTAGGTACCAGATCAGCTCGGGTGGTCAGATCTACTCGGGGCCCCGCCCCTTCTTATGACGTCAACATATGGCAACTCCATTCGAACAAACTGTGTTGAACCAGTTTCTTAAAGATCAAACCTCTTTTGGAGTTTCAACATATTATTACCTATGGCTATTTGCTATTATTTTATGTTTCATTGGCGATCTAAATTAGCCGAAAGTAGAAAACAATCATTGTCAGTCTTGAAAGAAAGTACTGCGTTCTAAGATTGACCTCTGCCATTTAACAAGGTGACACTAAAAGTCACAGCGTATTTTTATTCTTTTGTTAAAATCTGAGGGCAGGGGAGGAAAAATCCAACATTTAAAAAAATGACTTTCGTAGAGATTTTAGACAAAGAAAACAGTTATTCTACATGTCGAAAACCAACGGTTGTTGTTGACACAAAAAAAAGTATTGTAGCTTAATATGGCTAAGTGAGCGAGCTAAAAGAGGCTAACCTGTTAGCTACTGAGCACAGCTAGCCACAGCGCTAACCAGCTTTCCCCCTTTATATCATGGTCTAACAGTTACTTTGTTCATCATAAAGAGATTTTTTTCAGTTTTGTTTTCATCGATCAGGTAAAACTTCATCGGTCATTAGACATGTTAACATTACAGATCCTCCCGACTCGGCCCACTGATGTTATTATCGTTGTCACATCATGTAATGTTTTACATCATGTGGCAACGTTCAGCCAATATTGTAACGTAACGTCATTGGCATGCGCAGGGAGCAGATCTGGTACCTACACCAGTAAGATGAAAGTCCATATTCGACGATACGATTTCCTGTAGTTTGGTCCCTGTGAGGCTGGTTCAGACCAGAAGTAAATTGCACCAGAGTCCGTTTGGAAGCGGACTGAGACCACCTGAAAAAGTGGGTCTTAGTTCTGTTGTTTGGTTTAGACCAGGGCTCACTTAAGTCTATTTGCACGTACAATAAAAAAAGGTCTGGACAAAGGATGGAAATTAACTGGCTGGTTTAAGCAAACCAAACATGGCAGGTGTGAATACGCCCAATAAATTACTTTTATCATCATCTTTCACTTTGCTCAGGTTCCAGATGCAAATGAATGGTTGAGATCCAATCTTTTTTGTGGTTAACATGCAGCGATAAATCATTAAAGAAAACATTACTGCAGAGTTAATTCATTTATCCATCACTAAATAAAATGCATTATATAGAGTACTGACCAAGACTCATATTTTTTAAGTCTTTGTTTCTTCAATTATGATGATTTTCTGCTCACTGCTAATAAGAACACAACATGCAAGATAGAATATAACAGCTGAGTAGTAAAATGCATTTTAAATAAAGAAATGTGAGCTTAATTACTGTTTTCAGTACCTGTTTAAACGCTGTTATTTTAAAAAGGTGCTGTTAGTATGAGAAACAAGAATAATCTAATGTAGAGTGCAACTGTATGTGTGCAAAGATAATGTGTTTTTACACGATTAAAGTGTGATCCAAAGTTTATGCCAGACAGAGAAGTGGCACATGATGAACACTTGTGTGATATTTGAGAGCAGACAGAAGACAGAAAAACAAAACTTAATTTGTTACCTTTAGTCACAAACCCCACCCCCAATCATTTCACAAAACTTTATATCTTTCATTATAATTTAAAACTTTGTAGATATTTCAGTTTTTATAATATTTTGTTTATAATGTAAAGAAAATTAAAATTTTGTTGCTTTAGGCTACTTTAAACTATATAATTTTTGCTCAGGGAGCTAAATGTCAGAACACACCTGGTTTACACTGCAAAAATGTAAACATAAGTAA